TCTTTTTCATTTGATCTCTTGACTATTGCTTTTATGAACATTGATTGTGGAGCCAAGCAAGATGAAATCCTTGATAACTTCAATATTTTTTCTGTTTATTGTCATGTTGCCTATTGGTCCAATTATGAGGACTTAGGGTTTGTTTATATTGAGTTGTTACTATAATAAAGACTGCAATCCTTGATCTTTATCAGCAAGTGCTTCAAGTCCTCCTCACTTTCAGCAATCGTGGATGTTATCTGTATATTACAGTATGGTAATAAGCCTTCTTCTGATCCTAATGCCAAATTCATCTTCAAATAATCTAGCTTCTCCGATTATTTGTTTGGCATGGAGGAAGTTTCAACACTTTCACTTTTCTTTCTTTTTTTTTTTTTAAGGAGCATTCTGGCTGTATTTCTTCCAAGATAAAATTTGTTTATTCTTCTGACAGTTCAAAAATTTGCCTTTGGGTTGATGCTAACACATTGTGACTCTATAGGACAGGGTAAAACTGTCCCTGCGAGTTTCTGAGACTGTACTTGTTACCAGGAGTAGAAAGCCCTGTCTTTCTCCCTCAGAATGGCTGGTGGTTTTGAACTGCCAACCTTGTGGATCACATCCCAATGCATAACCAGGGCTCCTCTTTTGAGAGTAGATGGTATCTTCAATATTTACCAAGACTATAATTCAAATGCATCGATTCTTCTACAGTCTTCCTTATTCATTGTCCAGCTTTCTCATGCATTTGTTGCTGCTAGGTGCCAGGAAAACCAAATAGGTTCAGGCCCTACGAGCAACAGAACAAAGCACTGTCAGGTCCTGCGCCATCCTGACAACTATTGCTATGCATGTGAGGACATTGAAAATATCACACCTTCTGTCAGAGTTAAGCCTCAACATGACATCTTTAGTAACACTTGTAAAAGAATATAGAATCAATAAGTGAATGAATAGGTTAAAAATTGTTATCCATCAGCAATCTGATCATCATCTGCAAAGTATGGATACTGTTTTCTCACTATTTTTTCTTTAAATGATGAAGAGGTGCACTTCTGAATTATAAGTTTCCTTTGGAAGCTGCATTTCCGAGATTGGCCCTACCTGTGTGAAAAGAGCCGAATAAAAGTCCACCAACACTGCCACCTGCACTGTATTTCCACCGGCCTTCCATAGTGGTGAAGCATTTCACCTATTAATCTGTTTTTAAAAATATCTTTGGTTACCAAGATGATTACGTAACTAAAGGATTTGTTCTTAACAATTCTAAAATTCTTCATATTGTAGCAATAATTTCTTTTAAAAGCATTAATGCTAGTCTAATGCCAAGGAAATCGAGGTGAAAGGTTTCCCAAGTGTCCAACCCTCCCCAAATGCTATTCTGCTCTATGCCTCCACCCCTCCACTCCCTGGCAGCAACCATGGGCTCAAGAATAGGGACAGTGGTGAAGTGGTGCAGGCAGTGTTTTGTTCTGCTGTGCATAGGGTTGCTATGGGTCACAACTGACTCGATGGGACCTAACAAGTCCTCTGATTATATTTCCTCCCATCTCTTGGTCTTTGATTAGCTACAGTGTGCCACGGAAACTCATGAAACACCGAGGACATATCTCACAATGTGGTGGGCACTGTTCAGTCCTAAATTTGAAGGTCAGGTAAGGGGAGTCAAATGCAGGGTCCAGGGCCAGAAGCCAAAAATGTCCACAGCAAGTCTTTTTACTTTTACCAAAGCGCTGTCAGGAAGCAGACATATGTTGTAGGTTTGGAACTGTACAGTGCCACCAAAGTATATACTCTATCTGAAAAAAACAAACAAAGGGTGGTATATTAAGTTACATACTCTACTAAGGTAGAGTCTTAAAGATGCTTCCCAGGAAATAAAAGTTGTACCTTGGTTCACATCCTCTACTAAAGTCAGTTCTGAACCCACCCTCATCCTGTCTGTTAGTATAGTAGAGAATATAATCGCCAAATGGCACTATAACCACAGGAAAATAGAGTCCAGAATTAGAATAGATTATATAAGGCATTGTGGCTAGAAGTTCCATATTAACTGATGGCAACTCCGGCTCAGCTAGCCATTGATACTTGAATGGAGAGAAATTTATTCCCTTGCTCTAGTCTCTCTGGAGGAATAAGCATAATGTTAGATTTTCCCCACTGCATAACCCCTTATTCATTCATTCAGCTATTATTTATCAACTATTATTTTTTTTCTTCCTTCCATTTATCCAAACTTTCCCATCTTGGGAAAGGACATCAGGTTGAGCAATTGAACCATTCCTGATTGCGAATATCAAGAGCTGTCTAGCACGTGTTTCTCCCTCAGTCTATTCCCCATTATATTGGGTGGGATTACTCCGGTGCAATACTGGTGGATTATCTCAACCACTAGGCAATATGACACTTCACTGTCAACTCCAGCTTTGCCAGATGAGGAAAAGGTATAATTCATCCCATCAGTCCCTTGGAAATTCTTGCATACCGGTTTAGGGTTATAGTTACAATCTCTTGGGGAGCTATCATTGCTGTTTCGGGCACTTGAACTGCATCCCTGGTCCTGGGACCACAGCAGCAGACAGGAAAAAAGGAATTGAAAGTTAATGGAATTTTTTCCATGAACTTTTTGAAATCCTTTTACATATTTTACAGAATCTCCTAAATATACTGTAAAAAATTATTTGAGTTTCAAAATAGTGCTGAGCAGTTTTTAAATATAATAATAATACTAATATTGCAATTTTGAGCATAATAGGCAAGCGATAGTGCAAAATATTTCAGGTCTTAGGAACAGTATATCATAGGTAAGCATAGACTGTACAGTGGCAGGAGCATCTTCCCCTGCCTTCTCTTCCCTAGAGTCTCCTGAGAAACATAGGAATCTATCCAGTGACGATTCCCCCTTTGTCCCCTTCATGTTAAGTGTGAGGACACACTCATGAAGCCATGAAAAACAGCCCCTCATTCCTTTATCTCCGAGCTTCATTTTAAATAACAAATGTTCAATTGCCCATTTCAATTCTCCGAAGGTGGTACACAGCATGGTATGTTCATTTAATAACATGATTCTTAGCTCACTACTACACCCTGTGGACTCTAAGGTGTGGTCCTTGGTAGGAAGAGATATAACGTGGGGGTTCAAACTAAACTAACTTTTGTTAAAAACCCCTTGATGGTGTTTTTAGCCTCTGCATTTGTTACTGGATAGGCAAAGTCCAGTCCAGAGTAAACGTGTATCCCTGTGAGGATCCACATGTAGCCCTCTGGTGCCACCAATATCATTGGTCTGATATAATCGTTGTGCTACCTACGTGCAGGGCCTTCCTACAGGAGGAAGTCTCTGCTCCTCATTTTCCCCCTCCCTT